AGACATTGTAATTGCAATCTTAAATTTGAGGAAATGTCTGAAAAAAATTATTTGACGAATTTTACTCAAAAGCATAAATAAAAAGGTCTATAAAATATTAATAAAATGTAAAATGGAAATTTGACATGATATTAATAAAACTCATATGAAGAATAAATAGATGTTATTAAATGAAATAGACTGAAATGCGTACATTCACATGAATATTTAAGTAGAGTGTTTTTACAATTCTTTTCATTGATCGATTAATTTATGGATGATGATCTAAAGTGGACGGTATAAACTGGGCTTTACATGGCGGATTGTCACAATAACGAGCTAAAAATGATACTTCGAAAGCACAGGCCAAAGCAAAACTGAGTAATCGGATTTCCGATGATGGACGAATAACATCATTGCAAAAATGGTCGACCCCGCGGCGACGTATTGTTACGCTAACAAATTCGCCCTTTGACTTTTAAACTCGGATTACTACTATTTTGTAAGAGCGTGCACAATGCGTTTCTATAAATGTATAAATCGTTGCGCATGTTATACCCATTATTACATCAGACTGAATATCCGATTTAGATAGATTATATTAATTATTTAATTATTTCAGCATCAAAATATATTTTGCGTAAAATAATTCTGATAACGTGTTATACTGCGAAACAATGAAAGACCATTGAAAGTCAACGTCAGAACGTTACGAATTACGATTATCGATGCTCGTTAATATTAACTCATCTGGCAACGTTAATTAACGAGCACCATATCGATGCATATTATGCAAAGCCTGCGGAGACAAAGTTGAAACTATTTCAGGCATGTTTGACATCCGTTGTTTTGATTATAGAGGCGAGCAAGGGGAGCAGGGAGAATAAATAAATTGATATCAATGCGCGCATGTCGTGAGAAGTCTCGCTGATGACCTATTGCGCTAATCTATTTTCCGAACGGGATTTATCGAGTATCCCAGCAAATGCAGAAAGCCCACTGTAATATCGAGTTTTGGCGTTAACGTTAAACATTTTCGCGTCGCAGCCATTTCGAAACATTCGGCTCGTTCGTCCAATCGCAGAATTTATCTCCAGTTCGTTTCGATTAATGTCTGCCCCGCCTACTATTAATTCACTGTCATCTGCAATAACCGGAAAGATTCGATTTTTTTAGTAACATATTCTCCACAATTATGTTAACATATACATTAATACACACAACTGTGTGATATATTACTAAATATCTGAGAAAGCAATTTTGTATTTGGAGCTTATTTATCTCTCTAAGCTTTTATCTGTATTTACAACGCGCGCGTATATATACTACAATTTATGTACATGTATATACATTTTTTCCACAAATTTGAACGATCGTGATATATAAACCATGTGAAACAAAAATGCCCCACGATGTTCATATTGAAAAAGTAAATCCGTATTCTTTCTTTATTTCCATTTAATTTTATGTTTACCTATACTGATGTATTATAACTACTTTCACAATCTGAGTTATAATTTTACAATCTGTGCATTTATTTCATATTTGATTTGATACAATTGACAAAATATGGATTAAGAAACATTTTCATGTGCTTTAGAAAAGTTGGCACAATTTTTCAGTATATTTGTACGATTTTTTAGAACACCTTTTATATAGTTTGTCCTCGTTATAGTATCGCGGAAGACGTTCTGTGTACGCAACGAAGGAAAACGGATTTAAAATGGATCTGCATTAATCCGAATAAAGAGAGTCTCGGCAAATACGCCGCTAACTTGTGAAGTACTTTGAGACGGAAGACTTACCTGATTAAGATTCTGAGATAATTTCGGAGGAGGTTGGGGAGAATCGGAGATAGAGGTTAAGGAAAATTTTTCTCGACAGATCAGAGAATCTCGATCTGTTCCAATATTAAAATACGGAATACTCGATAAGCATCAAGATCTAACTACAAAAAAAGTTCGAAATCTATTTCTGCTGCTGGATAAAAGGGGAAGAAATAAATCAGAAGAGAGAAAATCCCACGTTTGATAAATTTTCAATGAAAGAACAGATAACGTGGTTTTAAAGTATATCTTTCATAAAAAAAACATTTGTGAATCAATTACGTAAAGTGTATCCATTAATCGGACTAATTAAATATAACACGATTCAGTAATAAAAAAATGACTTTTTTTTCGAACAATTTGGAAACCGATGTTCAACATCCAAAAGCTGCAGAAAATGAGTAGTCTCGTTCTGATGTTTTTGTAATAGTAGAAATGTTAATAATATCTACTTAGTGCCAGATCAAAAAGTACACTAGTCTGATGCTAAGCGCATACGATTGACGACAAATAAATTGGAACATACGTATTATTTTCAAATACTGTACTCCAAAATCTCTCTTCTCAAAAAGTAAAATTTTCAACTAAAGTAAACTTCCTTCCTTCTTACATTTTCTGAATCTTGTGTATCTGAGCTACCGGGAAGTGCATACAGTAAGAACATCGGAATTGTAGATTTCTTTCATCGAAGGACCCTCCGGGGACGTTCCTTATCGCGAAATATGGACCTACCACTTGTCACATCACTCCACCGTGCCACTCTCGTCGTTATGGTCACAAAAGTAAAACGGAAGTGACTCTTATCGAAACAAAGAGCGATGTTGACCGTGTGTCTGGTCATATAGAAAGTCTAGTGGAAAGAAGAAAGAGGAGCAAAGGAAAGAGATAGTTGCGAAACTTTCCAAAGAATGTCATTTCGTAAAAGAAAGTGCAGAATAAAACTAAAAGCTGTTACAAACCAAGAGTATATTCCAGAGAAAACTTGAATATCTCTCATTCTTTCTTAAAAATTAAAAAAATATTGATTTCGTATTTTTTGAGAGATCTGTGATTAAAGAAACACTCGTATTATAGATATGGAATATAGAAACAGCGTTAGTTCTTGTTTATCCTGTACATTTTTCTCAAAGATTAAGATTATACTTATACTTAGATGGCAAATAATCCTTTCGTATAGATAGAGCGTATAGAGAAAAAGATATATTATTTCTTTTCTTTCTTTTAGAAAGGACGCATTAGTGAAACCGCTATCGTAAAGCTTTACAAGATAGTACGAGAGCGGTTCTCTGTAATTTTACGGCTCGATAATTTCATGTCTCATTCTTACCAATTTTCAAGACTTTATGTCTTGGAACGAAATAAGACATACTAATAATATTCCATCGAATAGTATTGTACGTTATTCTATGTAGTATTATTCAAGTATGCTTGGGGATCTACGGAATTAGTTATACATTAAATATCGTAATGCAAATGATTGAAAATTTATTGAATTTATGTTCTAGTTTAATTAAAACAAAAAATTTAATTAAAAAAGTATTATTTATATACTTTTTTATTATTTAAATTATAGTGTATTGTTCAACAGTTTCAATAAATGTTATTTCTGTAAAACAAAAAGTAAAAACTAATTGCTTGCCAAATACATTTATCTATTGGCGCTATTGAGCTTTTTTATATTTCAACCAAAGAAATGTGTGTTGACATATTATATTTTAATTTATTAGTTTCTATGTAAAAAAATAAAGAAAATAATAGAGCAATTTAAAACAAACATTTCTAAGAAAATATTTAGCCAAGATTAAAAATTATAGTCAAGTAACATATTTTCAAATTACTTTCTATTCTACAATCATCGATTGTTTAATGAAAAGTGGGAGAAACAATCAAACAATCTACAAAAATGAGTGATAGTGGCTAGTAATAAAATAAACACTATGATTAAATATTGATTTATTGTGATTCAAATTCTGAGAGTTCAACAAATGTTGCATTAATTTTTTAATAATGCACAAAAAATATTAATTTGACTTGATAAATATGTAGTGTAAAATGCAAAACAATTTTTTTTATTTTTTGTCTGTTATTCTAAAAATGTTAACCATGTATTAAAACTATAAGTCATTAAAATTATTCTATTAAAATATGTCTTTTGTGCTAGTAAAATAAAATTTAATTTTTATTTGTATAAAGAAACGACGGTCTGAATCGAGCGGTAATAAGGTCCTTTTGTTTAAAATAATTTAATAGTATACAATGTTAGTATGACAAAAAGGTAAAGAATATAAAAAAACGTAACATCTAACGCGTAAAAGTAAAATTTAACGTTTCGGAACTCACAAATTATTCTTCAGCGATTCTTGAAGGATGTTACAGAGTCATTGTGATGTATCATAGTGTAAGTGCGTGCGACAAAGCCACGAGGCTAGCGTAGCGGCAGCGTGGCCGCCAGTACGCTCCCGAACATACACGAATGTACACGTGTGAAGCGCACGGCGTCACTAATAAAGGAATTAAAAATAAAAGAAGGCGTCTTCATTACTAGTAAAAGACATAACAGTCATAGAGATAAATAATCTTACGATCAAAGAGACATAGAGTAGTACAATTGTTTTGAAGAATTTATTTTCCTGTTTATACGTGAATTGTGTAATAAAATATACGAAAATAGGAACATCTTTACATATTCATCTTTACATATAAGTGTTACAATGATTGTAACACTTGCGCTCAACAGTATCAGAATCTGAGTTCCGAAACATTCGAGTTTACTATATTGTGTTTTTTTTATATTCTTATATTCTTTACCTTTTTGTCATACTAACATTGTATCCTATTGAATTATTTTGTACAAAAGAATCATATTACCGCCCCATATTGCAAAAAACGAGTGAAATCTAATTAATTTTTATTTTTTTTACTACCTATAGTGATATTTGAAAGAAATTTGATAATCTATCGCAACGCGCTCAGTACAATCCGTATTTTGTCCGGAACATGGGACAATACTGGGTCATGTCCGGATACGAGCCGCTTCGGCAGGTAGACGCTTCGTGTTCTCGACATGTCCGTGACAAAGAAGACGATGGCGCCGACAACACCGTGCACCGTCGCCTTTGTCACCTCTGTTTGTCGCTGGCAAAAGAGGAACTAAAACGACGCGTCGCGTCGCGACGCGATCCCTTTGTGTCGCAGGCATGGCGGAGGGCGGCAGGAAGCATCCGGTGTTGCTGTACATTCACGGTGAGAGCTATGACTGGGGCAGCGGAAACCCCTACGATGGTAGCGTCCTAGCCAGCTACACCGACCAAGTGATCGTCACCATGAACTACCGGTTGGGCGTGCTCGGCTTCCTGAACGCCAACGTGGCGCCGCAGACTAAGGCAAGGGTTGCAAATTATGGCCTCATGGACCAAATCGCTGCCCTGCATTGGGTTAAGGAGCACATCGCACGTTTCGGGGGTGATCCCGAAAATGTCACTCTTATGGGCCAGGGTACCGGAGCCGCATGCGTGCATTTTCTTGCCATTAGCCCCACCGTTATTCGAGGTAAGTGATTAAAGCTTGTTGAGTCAACATGAGTTCCAACATAGTTTGAATGATACATCAACTGAGCGAAAAACGCTATCCACGCGGGAGCTTATAAAACTAACGCGGTAAAGTTGGAAAAAACAGTATTTCGTTAAAAGCGACTTATAGTTGTAAATTGTAAAATTCAGCCAGGCGTAATGAATAAATTTTCTCGAGAATAAAGCCAGTCGAAATTTCTGAACCGTTCGCCACCATGTTGCGCTCGTAATTATTCAGAGAACACGCCGCGCTCGCGCGTCTCATAAATGATTAAAAGCGCTTTCGCATTACACATAATTGAAGAGTAGCAAGTTTTACATGAGCTTCGTAACAGTGCGTTATTTTGCGTTAGTTAATTACTCGTTACACCAATTACGTATTCACAAATAAGAAGAAGGTTATAGACTTTGCTCTTTTCTTAAAAACGAATTTTCTTTGATTGACTTACGAGTTTACAAGATTTTATATCGATCTATCAAATTGCAACCGAATCCTCTAACAAGATCTTCAATGATGAGGAGGCGAAACAAGCTTATGCGTGTCGAGTTCGTCTTTGTAAGATCTTCGTTACTTTCTCACAGTAAAAAAGACGAATTCGACGAGCGAGCAGAGGCTCTCAATTTTATCTACATATAAATAATCACAAGCGAGATCTTTTATTTAAAATTTTTTTTAAAGCTAGATACAGATTTGAGAAGAATTTTGTTGGGTTATCAAAATAATTATGTAAAACACTTGAGTTAGTTACTAGAATATAAAAACTTTATGGAGCGTCGCTCATTATGCTGGAATTTTCTACGTAATTGTTTTGATGATCCAACAAAATTATTTTTTCCATGTAAACTTAAAAATGCAAGCACATACACACATTCTCCTGAATGATTTTAATATTTTACACATTATTTTATCATAAAGTTATATAATGTCGTCACAGGAGAATGTAAAGATTCTTCTTGGGATTTCAAGAGCAGAGTGCTGAAAACCTCAAGATCTAGTGATCGGAATACTTGGTAGAAAACTTCGTCACTTATGTGCCATCTGTCGCGTAAAAATCGCCATCTTCATATCGCATACTTCACTCTGGAAAAAAAGGAGAGAAAAGAGTTTAGAAATGAGAAGTAGCTTAAACCAGCAAGAATATCAGCTCGAAATTTCTTTCTGCCGATATCCACCGTCCTCTACTCATCTCTTTTGCAGGGTTCGCGATATTTTCGAGGACGAACTCGCGCAGATCGGCACTGTAACACATTGCCGAGGATATTGGCTGTCTCCCTTTATATCTTCATCCAGTAACAGCAGCAGACCATCTTCGTGGTCGTGCTCACGGTTAACGTTCGACGGTTAACAGGCCCTGCAAACCCCTCCGGGGATGGACATGGCTGAGAGGATAAGGGGAAGCCCTCTCCACCCCGCCAACCCATCTCTCTTTACCTCTTTTCGTCTCGTTCTTTTCATCTTCGCTCCATCTTATTCCTTCGTTCGTGATATTATGTGCGTGAAATATCGTCCCTTCCTACCGACACCACCTTCGTCGTGAGCGCGCTATTGGAAAATACTTTCCTCCCTTATGAGGAGGGCACAGCCATCCACGCGTGTCCGAGATGGGAGTTTTTCCTTCCACACTTTTTACACGTCGCGGTTGTTTTACGTTCCTTGTCTACTTCCTTGATTTTATTAATTAAAGAAGCGTGATATATCTCAAACGATAAATTACGAGAAATTACTCAAATTATTGTGCAATCGAATAGTCGAAAAAAGTTTGAATCGTTGACCTGTCATTTGATTGATTAATCATAAAATGTTATCGACACGTAAATTTTATATTCAAGTACGCGAAATCATGCTAAGTTATACTTTCAGTGGTAATTAGAAAGTATAATTTGCTATGTTAAAAATTAGAACAATTAAACGGAGATAAGCTTTTAAAAAATAATAATTCTGTTATGTATCAATTTTAGATTTTCTGATGGTCAGTATTACGACAGAGAGCACAAGTGACTTCCCTTTTGAAGTAGTTTTGTGTTATTATTTTGTGTTGTTCTTGTCGTACATTTTACTTGAGTATTATGAGGAGATGCACACACACAGTTGAACTACTCTTTATATCATTTTAAGATTAAATTTTATACTGTGTTTATTCTTTCTTTCATTTCAAACTAATAATTATAATAAATTATTTGTGTTTATAAGTTAATATTATGAATATTTTGTCATTGAAAGTATGAACTATATAAAAAAACTTGTGTTATAATATACATTAATTAAGAATGATTTCCTTGTACATAAAATTTACGTATTGATAACGATACTGCATCACTCAATAGCGATAGCTTTCTACGATTAAATTGACTAAGGTTTCATATAGATGATAGTTTGAATATCGCGATAAATAAGGTTTACGAAAAATGGAAAAAACCTGTTTCATTTTTTTTTACTTTTGCGATTAAGCATCAGATTTATGGCACCATTTCTTTCGGTATTCTGACATTAATGTCATAAAATTCTCTCGCTTAATAAAATTCGCATTGTTTGCAAATTCTATTATTTAAAACGCTTGTACTCGTTTGTGTCGCAAGAAAAAAAACACCATTTCCTTTTATTTGTTTGCGCACGAAAGGATCTCCGATCGGAAAGGCATACCGACTTTTCTCTCACCATCTAGCTTCACGAATGCTTCATTCTTTCCCGTATCACAGAGGATAGAAATGAGAATTCCATTTTTCCAAGGCGCGGCTGTCTCGAGACGCGATGATGTCCTGTTATTTCCTGCTTTTGCTCTCTTGAAAAACCTCTCTCTCTCTCTCTCTCTTCCCTTTCATCATCTCTTCCTCCATCTCTTCCTCTTTCTTTCACACTATCACGTTAATTTTCTTAATAAGTTGCTTTTACTTGTGATAAGTTAATGAAACAATCGAAGCATAACATCTTCTCGAAGTAGAAAATATCCTACCTATCTTGGTATCTTTTACCTTAAAATTGAGAAATACATTTTCATCTCTTACTAGATACTAGAAAGAAAGAAATATTCTTAGAGAATATTCAGTAATAAAATTCAATTCTTACAAAAAAATTTTGGAAAAATATTATTATTTAAATTTAAAATAAAACATTTCAGTGCTCTTCAAAACTTTTTTAATTACAATTGAAAGTCTCAAGCTTACATAACATATTTTGACAAGTAAATGTAACGAATGTGAATGTTATATAAGATATTTCACATAACGAGAAAAAGAAGAAGGACATAATTTGATACAAGGCAAAAATAATGTTTATCTTAGCATGATGCTTATAATGTAACCACTGAGGAGTTAATAGTGTTAAGAGGAGGTGCAGAGATTGAAAAATTCTCCTTAAAGTACAAAACGGAGCATTCCGTTTTTCCATAGACAAATAACGTCTACGTGAGTACGCGCGAGAATGATTTTTCTCTCGGATAATTATGGGTCGTTGGTCATCCCTTTTCTTTAAGTTCGAGAGCGACTTTGGTTTTTCTTTCTTTCCTCACTAGGAGTAACGACGTGGCTTCCATCCACTCCCAGCGCCATTTTCTCCAGCGTAATTTCCTCCTCAAACAATCCACTCGTATAATATTCAGTGTCGCAATCGCTGCGCTTGTAGCATCAAATATAATATGATTCAAAATATCACGCTCCAAATATTTAACCATCGAGAGACATACAAATTGAAAAGGAACTTAAAATAAATTACAAAATAAGATAAAATAAATAACAACTTAAGATATAAAAAATTAAAAGTGTTTACGAATAAAATGTTTTTATACGTCATATATTACACTTAACAAAGATTACAAATATCTATTTTTAAAATATTTAAACAGAAAATTATAGCATTAAAGTATCAAAATATTAAAAATCTTAAATAAAAAAACTGTAAATTTTATTTATTTTAAATTTAAGTATTAGAAAATAACGAATATAATAAGTTTTCCAGATGCAAAATATAATTACATTTATATACCCATTGACGCATACATAATATACATTTGAAAATAATTGAGAAACATTTTATTTACTTACAGGATTATTCAAGCGAGCTATACTTCTGTCAGGCAGCGCCCTTTCATCCTGGGCCGTGGTGGAAGATCCTGTATCTTATGCTCTGAAATTAGCCAAGGCTGTCAACTGTTCCATTCCCGATGATCTTCTTAAAGATAATGAGCTTATAGTCGATTGTTTGAGGGAAAGTAGTCTAGAAGAACTGATGCAAGTCGACATTCAGCCTCCAACGTTTCTCAGTGCATTTGGTCCAAGTGTCGATGGCGTCGTCATCAAGCCAGACTTTCAAAAGGATCTTCTTTCTTACCTCGGTCCTGAATTTCAAGGATTCGCGTAAGTTTCTAAGTCTATCAATTTTTAAGATTCCAAGTTGCTCTGTAATTTTATTAATTTTAAAGGAATGCTTTTTTTTGTAAACAATAAAACATTCTTTACTAGTTGTCAATTCTAAAAATTATTTAAATTTAAATTTCAAAATTCTTGAATCTCTCTAGATGATTAATATATTTTAAGATTTTTTAATTTTATTTTTACTTTTGATATAGAACCAAAATTTGATATAAAATATGTTTGGCATTACGAACTTTTAGTGCCATTTTGGATATAGCCGTAGTGCAAATGGGGAAAAGGATAAAATCTGGAGACACATAGTGAGGAAAAAGAGGGAAAAGGGGAAAATCCTCGGATTCCGGTAGAACGGGCTTAATAGAGTTTTATGGTAATGCGGCGTATATTTCTACATTTTCTTTCGCGGCGGCAAAGGAAATCCGTGAAGCGGCGGAAAAGTTATTTTGATGTGTGCACTTCCGGGCTCGGCTTTGCTTTCTTGCCCAGAGAGGGGTCTCGCACTTAACGTCGGCTTCCACAATAATTTCGCCTTCCGTCTTCCGTCTGACGGATCCCGGAGTTTTCTCGTTAAATGGAAAAAGGGAGCTAAACGAGCCGGTTCCACCGCGAACATTAGCGTGGTTCATTAACGCGATTGTAAACGACCTGCCTCAACTCTACAACGTCATTAGCATACTCACAATCGAAGATCGCACCACGCTCGTGCCAGAAACCATGAAGCGAGTTCATGTTATCATCTTTACCTTCTAACTAAGTTACAATTTCCACTTGCAATCGCAAGCCCAAACAGATTTAGTAGATGTTAATGATTTCCGTATCCTAATTATTCGTATCATATATGTATATATAATATATGTTTTATTGTTAGAATGCAACCTAATATAAATGTATTCTAACAATGAAACTATAATCTTCCATAATTGCTGTTTTCTTTTGATTTATTTTTTTTTTATTTTAATTTGTTACTCAATTTTCTTTACTTCTTTATTTCTCCATATATAACACATTTACGTGTAATAGAGATAGACAGACAAGAATTAAAATATTATACATTAGAAACAAATTGTACTATTTAAATTATTAGATAAAGTTATAAACTTTAAACTATTAAAATTGTGATGTTTAATTTTAGCCCTCTCCCAAAGAAAGCTGAACACGGCGCACCAATTACGAGCAACAATAAATATGATTTATTATTCGGCGTGACAACAAGTGAGGCTTTATGGAAGTTTGCGGAAAAAGATGTTCTACAAGGATTTGAAGGAGAAAGAAGAGACAGAATCATCCGTACATATGTGAGAAATGCATACGTCTATCATCTCACAGAAATATTTTATACAGTAAGTCATTGTCCTTTATTGAACCAATTGAATAATAATGAATTTCATATGACAATAGCTATAATACAATGATCTTTTTTCCGATTTTTAAAACTAATTCAAAATTCTTATTTGATATAAAAATATGATATTTGATATGTTTCTATATCTAAAATCTGAATTTAAAATCATGTCCCTATATAATACAAAGAAATCTTCGAAAACTAGAAAATAGCAATTTTCAAAAAGTAAAAATAAATTATATTTATTACTAACACAGTATATGACATGCCACGCATATTTGCGGCGCGTACATCGTTGCATACGCGCGGAATTTATCGCGGGACGTAATTGTTACGTTTCACACAACGATTGAATTGCGAACATTGCGTTTTGTCCAAATACACCGACAATGCAATTTCATTTGGCCGGCGCGTTATCGGTCCACGCAGAAGCCATGCAGGTCGGGCATTACTTAATAATTACAGCCAATTAAATAATTATGACTGCAACAATATATTTTTACGAGCGCCAATAGCGGATAAATGCTCTTGAATGCATTCCTGATACAACGATAAGGGAAAATACAAATCTGATATTGTATGCAAAACTCGTGAGAGCTTTATTTTAACAATTTTTTAGTTAGTATATAATTGAAAATTATTTTAAAGAAACAATTCGATTTCAGTTAAATTATTTTTCAATCTCTCTATTTCATTTTTACTTAAACGTACACCACCGCTGAAAGTTTTCTCTCGATACACTCTTCAGAAATACGTTATTTATTAAAGATATACTATATATATTTTCGACAATGCTCATTTAAACAATTAAAAAATACAATTATGTCTCAGCGATAAAACAAAAAAATTATTGTTAAACGTTAATTTTCTAGTAATCTACTTGTTACGTAAACGAAAAACTTGGAATTCCTTTTCAGGTAGTGAATGAATATACTGACTGGGAGCGAACAGTTCAGCACCCCGTCAATACAAAAGATGCGTGTGTGCAGGCATTGAGCGATGCACAATTCGTGGCGCCGCTTGTACAAACCGGAGATCTCTTCACCTTGAGACACACTAAGAAACCAAACAATCCTCATATTGCACCGATTCTCGATAGCGAGGAAGAACCCATGCCTAAGACTTACTTTTATGTGTTCGACTATCAAATGAAAGACGGCGATTATCCTCAGGTAAGTAAAACTAACAAAAAATGAAATTATGATTTCATAATCATGCGTGTGATCAAAAATTAAAAATTTGCCACATAATATTTATAAATAAATTTAAAATCCTGTTTATAATTACATTTTCGTAGAAGGCCTCAGTTAAAATCAATTTTGACGTGATATGATCTAATAAATAAATAAATAAATCTTAAGACTTGATTTATTTATTTATATTACATTATATTTACAATTGCAATTTACGAGTAATTAAGATTTATATAATGACTGCAAGTGAGAAAGAATCATAACTATGATTTATGCTATTTTGCATTTTATAAAATCAATTACATTCTTATGTGTTGCTCAGAACATAATTCAAAAATTTTAACTCTCAGTATACATAACAAAATCAATAGCGTAAAATTCTACGTTCAACACACTATAACGAGTATTTGATGAGTTAACTAATTTTCGGGTAACACCGTCCAATTATGGATTTATTTCACTTTTGTTCTGTATCCTTCAATCGTGGCTCGTTAAAATGATAATGCTTTTCGCTCCCATGGGTGCTTAGCTTCATTAACTGCAACCCGCTGCAAGGATGCAAGTTTAGCAAAGGCAATTATTCGTTTGTTGGTGACGCTGAATATTCTCATGTAACCGCGTGATGACTGTTTTCCTTCTGTCTCTCTGCCATCGTCCATTCGCTATTGCTGTTCAAATTATCGGCTTGTTTACGTTCAATTATGCACAGATTACATTATATGCATGGTGTTATATTATTGTTCACCGTGATGTGCCACGACGCCTCTCATTATCAGTATGAACTCAGACTCTTTCTGACAAAATTCGAATATGTATAATATACGTATTATGGTTTATACATTATTTTCATATAATAATATCTTGTAATCAACGTTTCACGTAATTTTTTTTTACAAATTATTTCTTAAAATATAAAATTAATTTCAAAAATTTGATTAGACATTTAATTAATAGATAACATCATGTTAAACGATACAATCTTTTGAATAAGAAAAGATAAAAAAGATTAAAAAATTTTGAAACAACGACTATTGATTTAAACAATTTTTTAAATAAAAATTATTCGATTATATTTCATAAAAATGAATTATTTTATTTATTTTCTCTACCTTATTATATCTTTATTGTATCATTTATTGTAATATAAAAAAGATAAAAATTGCAATTAATTAATGAAGAAATAAAAGTGACACTACAAATTTTGAATTTATTTCAAAAGTTCTTTTCCACTTAAATTTGATGCGCAGAAATTCCATTAGATCAATAATTGATGAACGAGTGGTCGATTAGATGACAGTATATGTGAGAGACTCTACAGTTTCCAGAGAAATTCCGTTGAGTAAATATGTACGGAAATCGCACCGCGTCGGTAGAATAATCAGTCGAATCGCGGGACTATCGTGCTGCCTTCCGTTGTTTGTGATGCTGTCCCAACCTGGTGGCATCTAACATTCTGCCTTTATCTCGCGGTACGTGTCTCCTCTGTTGTTTGCTATCGTAAAACAGATAGAATCCTTCTCTACTCGGTTGCATCCATAATTACTCTGAATAAACAGTTACAGGTTGCCAACATTTCGTCCATTTCACTCGCAATTATGCTCGTACATTAATTATTGATTCAGTCAGTATCCTTTTCTACCCAGAATGTGTTTCATCAGAATGCGTATGCAGTCATTTACGCTTACTACACGTATTATCAACGGAACAATTATTTTGTTCAATTATTTTGAAATATATATTTTACTTTGGAGAGAGTGATAAGCAGCACGTTCTTGTGCAATATAGGACAATTGATATCTCTTCTCTTCGAGTTAAAATATACTCCGTTTATTTTATTATATTTAATTTGTATCTTTCCATCAGCAATGTATCTCTCTTTTGTTCAAATAAATTTAACTTCCTGGTTTATACATTGGCCCCAGAATGATTTGTTTGCTTAAAATAATTATTATATACTTTATTTGTTTAATCCAAGATAAATTGAACAAAAATAAATTGAATTAAAAAAACAACAAATCTCGTTACTCTTAATTTGATAATTAATATTTGTAAAAAGTAATACAAATGCAAAGCAAAAGTAAATAGTCTTTTTTTATAGCATTTTTTACGAACCGTATTTTATTAGCTTATTTAACATTGTGAAATTCAAAGCGTTTATTAGGCATATACTTTTTATTAGGCATGGAAATAACAAATACACATTCGTTTTTATCATACGACGATTACGTTTTTTAGTTACGAATGAATACCTTGAGACAAGACAAGACACACTACATATCCTACTTTAGAATAGAAAGATTCAATTTACGATGGAACAGGCGCATGTACGTCGAATATTGATAATAAGAACGCCATCGCGTCATTTGCAGTCGATGCGCTTCTCATGACAGCCATTACGAAGTACGAACCCAGTTCTATTTCAATTTACGTTAAAATTATTTGCAGAGCTAATCAGTTTATCTGTTTTTCTCCCACTCTTTCATCCCCTATAAATTTTTTAAATTATATATTAAATGCTTTTTATCGTTCAATAAATATAAATTGTGAGAAAGCGAGATTATTATTGCGATAGATTAAGAGTAACTTTATATAATGCTTTTTTACAAATAGCTTGTAAAAAAGCACCATGTATTTTAAAATATATGTAATTATTATATTTATATTATGTTCATTAAACTATAAACTGTTTTTTTTTGTGTTATCAATTAATCAATAAAATTAAAATAGTTTAATTTTACAAGCTGCTTGTATCGTACATCTGCTAGCTTTTTTTTTTTATAAAAATGTATGAACAACAAATAGCTTTTACTAACAAGAAAAAATGCCAGATAATTTAAAAAATTATGATGAATTATATTACATAATCACATTTATTGTACAAGTTGAACAAACGTGCAAAGCAAAATTGAGAAAAAGTTTTATATGCTATTATACATTGTAATAAAAAGAACATCGTATATAAACCTCGCTTCGCTATCGTTATTATAATATACAAACGAAATTCGTTAGTTTGTCAAGCTTACTTTTTAATAATTTGTTTTAGTAATTGAGGCTGATAATGTCATTTGAAGAATAATCTGATGTTCAGACAAGAATTTAAAAAAGAAGATCTTTGACCAATTAGATGGCCATGTTACGTTTTTGGGATTGATTCGTATTCATAGTTCGTTCATAATCGTATGGCGGTCGCGTACATAGGCCAAAGGACGAGACGGTTTCGTCGATGTGTGAGCAGCACGAAATATTCCAGTCATGTCACGCGCACCACATGCACGGCAACACGCCACCGCGTTTGTTCACAATACAATTTCCCTACTTTTTCACATTCGCCAGCAATACCTTGTCTTGCAGGCAGGCATCTTTCCATTCTCTTTACACTTATTCCTTACTCTGCCTGTGAAAACCGATTTTCCAATAGTTCAAAACCACATCATATTAGATAGTTGAATATTTCAAAAAGTCTGTAATAAGAATTTATAAAGAGTCTTATTTCAGATGACTTTATTTAACAAATAAAAGTTACTGTAAAATTTACTTTTAAAAATCGATTAAAAAATTTTTCTGTCGTCTTATCGATCTTTCAAAACTTAACAAATTTATATAATTTATGTTTTAGAAAGATAATTAATAATTAATCCATAGAAGAGTAATACTATACATGATCAGGAATACGAATCATCTTGTATAATTTTTTAAGATACGAAAAGATTAAATGATGTTTAATTCGCATGCATAATGAAATCTAATATAAAATAGAAAAAAAAAATTAGTAGTAAAGTCATTTCTGCATTTTCTTTTTGCATAAGAATAAAAAAAACAAAGAGATTAGAAAAGACGAGAATCAGTTTCTCACGAATTCGTAAATAAACTCTCACGATAGCAACTTGTAATCTATCGGTAAAGTGAAAACAGACATTGCGGGCGGGTCGCAATCGATCCTACCAGGACGAACGAAATTCATCCCGAGGATCGTTGGGGGATTTGTAAGGACCCATCGATACGCAGAGGATTTGCGAAGCCGACGTTCAAAATCTATCAGTACGTGCGCCACCTCGTCCATTCCAGGACGCTAGGCTCCTCACGAATCCTTTTAAAATGTTCTCTCGTGCTGTAATTCGATCGAAGACGATTTCCTTCAAAGCAGGATTCGTTCACCGCGAAAAAAAAAATTTTGCGTAAACCTTCGACGCTGATCGTCGCCAAAACGATCAGTAATTCGATAGAAGGTCGTATTCCACAGTAATGTCAGATCGGAATAATGTAACAAATTCTATAAACAATTGCTCTCTTCACAAAATGTTAAAGGTAAATTGTGTTAAAGGTAAATCTCTGCTTTCACAACAGTAATCACTTGGCTTTTTTTATAAATTTAATGCACATGTAATCGTATAATTAGTATCAATGTTTTAATTCGTTTGAAGATGATTGATATGTTGATGAAGAAGAAAAAAGACTAAATAAAAACGAAACTAGAAAAATCTTTCCGTGTCGAATCAGGGTTTCTATTGCGCCACTCGTCGTGATTGCTATTTCTCCATCTCGCACGAGGAAAATGAGAATACGACCCCGCTTTGCAGTTCTCTCTTCCATCGTTTGTCCAAAGAGAGGCTGATAGGAGAGAAAAAAAGAAACGAGAATAGGTGAAGAGTGCGAGGGAAAGCAACTGCAAGTTGGAAAAAGGCATTACGAGAAAATTTGCCCTCAAAACCCTGCGCATGCCGCAAAATATATCCTTTCTTCTTTTAGAAAATCTTTAAATAAAATCTTCTGTTAGGAATGCCTAAGGAATGATTTAAATAGTCACTCAATCAAGTAAAAAATAATTTACATTACTTTATATCTTAATTTTTTAATGAAATGTAACGAATGTTATTTCTCCCATTTTGTATATTTTTTTCCTAGAGAACTTAATTAATTCTACATTTAAAATATAATTTAACTTAAATATAAGAACTGAAAATTGATTAAAATATTTAATT